GACACCCCAAAACCCTATCTAATTGACCCATGAACCAACAAATATTACATGTGTGTAATAAAATGAAAAAAGGTGAGAAGCATGTACCCAGCTCAACAGAGCTGATTAACAAAAGCTAATGTACCCTGAGCAGGCAGCTGGAGAAGGATATTGCCACATTACATACAGCATGTCTTTTGATCACAAATATCTATTATTTCTGACTTTTATCAGAAGTACATCCTTTAATAAAGTGGATTTCCTTCCTTTGTACAATTTTAAAAACAGATTTTTCCCCTCAACAGATCAGCTTCAATTTTTTTTAACATTTTCCTAACATATAATTATCCTGTTCCAAAGACCCAAAAGTGCCGTCAATGTGACTGAAATCGGAATGTAAATATTTTATAAACAGCTGTCAAATCTCAATTGGCAGAAAACAAAAAGCCCCCGAATTGCTGTAATCTAACCACAAGGCTACATCATTTAATTGTCAGATAAGACATTTTTCTAGTTTGCATTTTCCCATCAGCATTTTAATACATTAGCACGGTGTGCCATTCCGGAGAGTCACTGTGACAATTTACTTGAAGATGGAATAAACTCTGAAATGCTCTAAGGGAGATGCCTAGCACAGTGACTGAATTCTGTTTCATGGAACATTTTTCACACTCACTGTATTTGGAATATCTGTTACTAACACAGACTAAATATTGGCATCATGGGACTATTATCATGCCCGTTGTTTTAAAAAAATGGCCAAATTTTGTTCTTAGCAGTTCAATAATTTATTATTTCATTCTTTTGGGCCTTCATTTAACAAACATTTCTGATTGTCTATGTACCAGGCTTAGCTAATAAATCTAGGTAAGATCCAAAGAACTGTGCTCTGTCACCCATCATCAGAGATCAGAAATGCTGCTAGTAAAAACACCTGGGGCCGGCCCCGTGGCTTAGCGGTTAAGTGCGCATGCTCCGCTACTGGCGGCCCGGGGTTCAGATCCCGGGCGCGCACCGACGCACTGCTTGTCCGGCCATGCTGAGGCCGCGTCCCACATACAGCAACTAGAAGGCTATGCAACTATGACGTACAACTATCTACTGGGGCTTTGGGGAGAAAAGGGGGGAAAAAAAAGAGGAGGATTGGCAATAGATGTTAGTTCAGGGCCAGTCTTCCTCAGCAAAAAGAGGATTGGCACAGATGTTAGCTCAGGGCTGATCTTCCTCACACACACACACACACACAAAAAAAACAAACAACAAAACACTTGATGAGGTCCCTCCCAAGGATTTACTGGTATTTTCTGTGTGCATTGGTGTTTGTCTCTCTTCTCAGATTTGTCTTTTCATTTTTTCCTCTAAGAAATAGACACACCTAAGCAATAGATATGTCAGGGACATTGATAAGCACTGCTTAATTTCTTTTGGATATTTGACCTAAGGCATTTTCTGCCTCTACATTCATTCATTCAATAAATATTTACTAAGCTTCTTGAAGGGAAGAGGCATCATGGTCTCGGCAGTAAAGAAGACAGACAACGCCCTGTCCTCACGGAGCTTAGATCATACTACAGCAAGAGATAAACAAGAAACTAAAAATGGGGCCGGCCCCGCGGTGTAGTGGTGAAGTTTGCGCACACTGCTCTGGTGGCCCGTGGATCACAGGTTCAGATCCCTGGTGCAGACCTACGCACCACTATCAAGCCATGCTGTGGTAGGCATCCCACATACCAAAAATAGAGGAAGATGGGCACAGATGTTAGCCCAGGGCCAATCTTCTTCAGCAAAAAAGAAGAGGATTGGCAACAGATGTTAGCTCAGGGCTAATCTTCCTCCCCCCGCCCCCCCAAAAAAGAAACTATAAACAAATGTGTCGAACTCTTCATGTCTTGCCTAAATCCCTTCAGCTATATATGTAAGCATTTTCTCCATATGGGGGCATTTTAATACACCTTAAAAAGATAGCACTTTTAGTTTTTAAAAGGAATTAAATTTGGGTGCCTGGGGATAGGGCTCATTTTGAGAGAGTGGTTAGGGAAGGCCATGGCAGCTGAGACCTGATTGGGAAGGGCCAGGCACAGAGCACTGCAAGCCAGGGCCCTGGGGGAAGAGAACACAAAGAAACATTTAAGGACTAGAAAAAAAGACAAGGACACCAGAGTGGAGGAAGCAAGGGAGAAAAGGTACAAGTAGAAACCCGACTGTGCGGGATGTGTAATTACGGTAGTATACTTGGGTTTTACTCAAAATGTATAGGAGGGAATTGAAAGGTTCGAGCAGGTCTCAAACAGGAGAGTAACAAGATCTGGTCCAGGTTCCCCATCACAGGTTGTTGAACACAGGACGGATTTTGGAATGGCAAGAACGAAGCCAGGAGACCAGCAGGAAGCTTATACAGTTGACAGAATGATGACTTGGAGTAGGGTTGTAATGGAAGAGACAGAAAGAGATTAAGAGATTCAGGATGTACTTGAAAGAAAGGAAAGGAAAATGAAAATAATTTACAACTCTTAGGTTCAATGGCCAAAAAGAAAAAGTTTGGCTTCAGTAGACACAGCATTTCTCTGCATTAGCTAAAGAGATCCGATGAGGTAACCTATTATTTTCTACTAAAAGAATATCAGAATTTCTTACACCTTTAATTTACAAATAAAGATCAAAGGTCCAGAGAGGTGAAATAGCTTTTTTAAGCCCCAAAAGAGCTGGCTGTCACCTGCATTTCCGTCTTGTATTTTCCAGCCTGGAGACTTGCCCATTACACGGCACCTCCTCCCCAGCCGCAGCTCAGTACCACATTCGATACCTTGCATGACTTTCTTTGGAAACAAATTTCATTACATAATTTACCCTTAACCTGCATTTTTTTTTTCTGAACCCAGTAAGTCTGAGTGAAGGAATGGAGATTGTTAGAAGGAGAAGATTTAAAATTAGGACTGTAGTTTAAAAGCTGAGTTTTGGTGGACGTACTTAGACCATTAGTTCTAAACTTTTATTTCAAAAGAACAAAAAGCAATAAAAGAAACTTGGAATTAATATTTCCTTCACCTGATTTCATAGGCAATTCCAATTCATCCTGATTCCCCAAACCAGAATTTTCTCTTTCCTTTTTTAAAAAAAATATGGAATAGCCTCAGTTTACTTTGTTTTATAAACAGACAATCTAATAGAAATTCTGTGTTAATGAAGAGCATTCAAAGGGTTGGTGAACTGATGATGCCTCTGACTAGCTATCAGCGTAATCCGCAACAGCACAGGCTCCTGGCATGATACTCAGGACCAGCACCGAGGCAGTAGAGTACAGAGAAGGGTGCCTGACAGGTCCAAGCTCAAACCTCGACTTTGACACTTACTATCATAGGACAAAGTTCTTAACATCTCAAAGCATCAGTTTCCTCATCTGTAAAATGGGGATAATAATACTTACCCTGATGGCACTACTGTGAACATTAAATAAGGTACAGAAGCGTGTCTAGCACAATGCCGGGCTATGAATGCTAGAGAATTAGCTGCATCTGCAAGCTTGTTTTACCTTTCTGCTCCAACAGCCTTGCTTGTGGCTTATGTCCTTGTGATTATAAGATGAGGGCTGTACTTTGTATTAATCATGTTTTTTATTTTCTGTTTTTTATGATGCTTTGTTATCTTAAAAGCTTACTGGCCAGGGAGAGACTGCCCCTCCTAGGGCTAGCCAATCCTGAGAGATAGCAGAGGGCTTGGCCTAGAGCACAACTTTCATATGTGAACCAAACAATCCTGAGTCTGTAGTCCCAACCACCTTCTTTCCTAACTCTCACACACCAAGCCACAATAATCTTATGATGAGTCCAATTCTCATACAGGTGTAGAGTCAAATCGTAAAGAAAATCCCCTAACCCCCAGATCAGCCCAGAGCCAGGTACCAGGCAACTAGAGACCACTCCTATAGCCCAGAGCCCACTGGCATTATTCTAGCTGGCCAGTCCTAAGCCATTTACCCTGACTTGCCTTGCCTTTCCTACAGGAACTCCCAACAAAGACTCTGACCTAGGCTATCTCTTCCTTCCTGTCTTCTGCCACCTGACCAAACGTGGTACTTCCCCAAGTGGCCCTGGGTGGCTTGGAGTGCCCCCTTCTCTCAGGAAATGTAAGGAATAAATCCTTCTTTCAACAGCATTGACCTCCCTGTGTCATCATTCAGTCACTTCCATAAATGAGAATCTTGCAGCTACAAATTTTAGAACAGCTTTCCAGGTAGGAAGACGGGGTAATCACAAAGGAAAACATTCCACAAATATTCTCTTGAAGTTTGCTCTTTTGATTCAGGAAGAGAATTAATTCAGGAAGGGAAGCACTCCCAGGGCCCATCACCCAGGGCTCATTAGCCAGGAGTGAGTCACGTGGGTGGCCTACGTAAAGGAGCCTGGGACGGCGAAGAGTTTTAAACTAGATACTTTACTGTCCTTCAAAACATCAGACTTTTTTGTTAGGAAGATAGAAGGGGCGAATGGGTATTGGGTAGGCTGTTAATACTTTCTCTATTCGGCAGACAGTGCTAACAATAAGATTTAAAAAAGGATTGAGCTTTTTCACAGGTTGCTCTTTCTTTATTCACAATCAGATTTTGTACAGCATTCTGAATAAGGCAATATACATCAAGGGATAATATTGAAGCTTCTATGAATTACACAAGCTATAAGGTCCTATATATGCTAAAAATTCAAACATTTTGTATTTTTGAAAAAACCATCTTGCTACAGTTGAGATACAAATGAGTATTTGAAATAAAATCAACTTATTTCCTATTTCAACAAATATTCCTTCATTGTAATTTTGAATCTGATGAGTAAATAAGCAAAAAAAATCTTTAAGACAAAAAAATTGAGCATGACTATATATTTCTATTAAGATGCACATAGTAGCAAGTATAAATTGTATTGAAAAACACCAACTTAGAAATTCCTATTCCTCATTAATTTGTTCTCACAGATAAAGCCATAAACCCATTTTTAAAGCAAAGACTTTAACTCAAAAAAAGATCTTACCTTACAGTACCTTAGCGGAAGTTCTGAATGTCCTTTGGCCTCTAATCAGAACACAGGTGCTAGAAGAGAATAAGAAAATGAGGTTAGCATACAGCTAGAACCTTGGAAAAGGGAAAGTCAATAGATTACAAAAATGATTTGAGGAAATGTAAGAAAATTACAGAATTTTCTATCGCAAGTGATCTCATAGATCATGGTGCCTAACCAGCTCACGTAACCGATGAGGACACAGGTGGTCAGAGAGTTAAGGTACCTGTCACTGGCAAAAGAAACATTGTCTATCGACTTCTGATGAATGGCTTTTTCTTTTTCTGTTTTTTTTTTTTTTTTTTTTTTGTGAGGAAGATCAGCCCTGAGCTAGCATCCATGCCAATCCTCCTCTTTTTGCTGAGGAAGACCAGCCCTGAGCTAACATCTATTGCCAATCCTCCTCCTTTTTTTCCCTTTTTCTCCCCAAAGCCCCAGTAGATAGTTGTGTGTCATAGCTGCACATCCTTCTAGTTGCTGTATGTGGGACGCGGCCTCAGCATGGCCGGAGAAGCGGCGCAACGGTGCGCGCCTGGGATCCGAACCCGGGCCTCCAGTAGCAGAGCGCTAAGCACAGGCCGGCCCCTGAATGGCTTTTTCTATAGTTCCCCTCCTCATACCTGCCAGAGCTCCAGTCACAATGAAGCGACATAAAGCGAGAAGAAGAGAAAACAAAAGAAGCTGCTCGCTCCTTAATTTCACGTGTTAGTGATGGTGCCTTCCTTTTTAAGCAAATGGGTTAGTACCGTCTGCTTTGAAAGAGAAGTCATGGGAAGAATCCCTTAGAAGTTCCAGAGCGCTACCTCCTCCCAGACACTACTGGAAATACATACTGTTATCTTATGATTAGTCCAATTCTTATACAGGGGTAGAATCAAATCTTAAAGAAAATCCCCTACCCCACTTCGAACACCGACATTCACATTTTTGAAGTGTACAGAGCCTGAGATTTAGGTCAGAACCTTCGGAAAGCATCTCTTTTAGAAGGCTGACCTAGAGAAAGAAAAGGAGGCACCAAGTTCCACGAGAGGAGAACGGAGAATGGGGTGAGTGTGTTCTTGTGAAGGACGTCGTTGAGGACAGAGGGTCAGGAGGAAACAGTAAACGCTACAGGAGCACTTGAGGATGAGACCTGATAAGACATTATTGGATTTTTAAAAGGAGGACCTTGCAGTTTCTAGAGTGGTGAAGGTGAAGTCAGATGACAAGAGGACAAGAAGAGGCTGTGAAGTGAGAAGCAGAGGGATTCGAGGAGCGCACGTGGAGGGATTTCCTCAGCAAGGATGAGAGGAGCTTAGCGCAGCCTCCAAGAGTACAGTCTGTGACAAGATAAGTGCAGAGATGGAGAGAAACATTTAATTAATAATTAAAAAATAGATTTGTATTTGCATTTTTTTAAAGTATCAATTTGCAAAGGACTGGGAAAAAAGAAAAGAAAGAAAAGTCACCGGTCCTTCATCAGTTTGAGAAGCACTATGCTAGAGAACATCAGCCCCTTTCGTCTCAATATTCCTTCCTCCTTTCTTCAGGGGCTCTCCTGCTGCTACAGCTTGCAGTGCTGGAACTGTCAATCAAAGGACTCTCTCCTATTTTCATCAAAAGAAGGACATCTGACCCATGCCAGGCCTCGTAGACTGCTCCTCTCCTAGGAGCTCAGTCTGAGGAGTGTGTCCTAAGGAAGGAAATGGCTAGAGCTGATCATTTCATGAGACCCATTCACCTTATGTGCGGGGAAACTGAGGCTGAGGGTGTCAGTGAGCAGATGTCACTTGAATCCAGACTGACTGACTCATTCCACTAATTGCCTTGCCTCTTTTAGTTATTGGCATCTCCTCAGGAAATAATATCTGTACAATTGGAGCTTCAAGGGAAAATTCAACGGTATTAACACTCCCATTCCTTGTAGAGGAAGTGATGGGCAAATCATCAAACAATATTTCAGTGGGAGGACATAGGCATTTCAGTCTCTCATCTCTAACAAATAGACATTTCTGCCATATAGGGCATGCCAGTGAGCCTAGAATTCCTCTTTCACCACAGATTCCTACAGAATCTAATGAACCAAAGGGTGAGTCCTCAGTGAATTCCCTGAGGCACCTGTCAGTTCTCTCACCATATCCTACTAAGTGTCTTGCACATAGTGGTTGCTCAACAAGTATTTGTTATATGGATTTTATGGCTAAAATTAACAATTATCCAGAACACATTTGCCTAATTTACAATTAGGAGTCCCAACATGCCTACATATGGAGATTCAGATCATTTTAAGTACGTAAATGCATCTCTCAATAATATAAAATTAAGTTGCACCATTAATGATAAAATAGAAATCCACACTATTCAGTCATTACAGTGTCTGCCAATAAAAATAACTTGTTCACTAAATGAATTGGAGAATAATAACTGAGATCGAACACCCTGAAGTTTCTCGAAGTTTCTCTAATATTAGATGCAGCAAAGTATTCATTTTGAAAACCAGCAAGGGAACTGGCTTTTATCCTAGCTTTGAATTCATTCTATTACAAATTAATTGCACATGACATTCATTTAGGAGTGAGCTTCAAATCCTTGAGTAGAGATGACAGGCTCCTCCAAATCCCAGGAAACGTGGTTCAAAAGGTTACATATTCAAAATATGATTGGTGATTCCAGAAACTGTTGTCATAATTATGCAGTTAGCCAAATAAAGAGGAAAACAATGCCAGAGACAGCATAATAATTATGGAAGGCCAGATGAGAGGCTTCTTTTAATAGGCCAACAAAACATTACTTTGATTTAGGATGTATATAGATAAGTGTAGGCTCTTTTGTTAAAGTCTTTCAAGTAGTAGTTTCTTTCTGTCACATAATTGGGTGTTTATGGAATATGGACTCTGAGAAAAGCACTCAATGAGGTAGCAGTTTTGGGCTTTTAGTATGATAATCTAAACGGTCCCATTTCCTTAAAACTTTTCCTAAAAATCGTATTTGCCTATTTACTAATTATTTGAGCACGCATATTGCTCTCATCTCTAGGAAGAAGCAAACCACTGGAGCAAATGTTTTGCAATCTAAGTGGGTAATAAATGACTCTGCCGCCATCTGATTTGGACAGCATTATACCTGTTCACAGTCCTGAAATAAATAAGCTTAATTAACTAATTTAACTTTTTGTATTCAGCTGAAATTAGATCCCAGACTCTTAGGGAGGACCTAGAATATTCTCCCTTTTAACTTTACAATATATCTTTAGTTTTTTAACTCGTCTTATTGAAGACCAAAATAACAAGTGCTTTGACAAAGTTGAGCCTGACAGCCTGTTTTATGGGAATAGGATAAATATAGTTCCAAAAATGTATATATTATGCTGTCTGGTTTGCCTTAATTTCACATTCAAAAACAGCATTCACTAAATATCTGTGCTCATTCAGCGTGTCACGTTGTACTCTGACCTATTCCCATCAGAGCCCATCTTCTCATTTTTAGCCATCCCATCTAGAGAGGGAGGGAGAGAACTAATTACGACACAAAATAGTTCTTATGAATGAAATCATTCATTTTTTGTTATTATCCCGAATTTGGAAATAAGGCTCAGGGATCAAATAACTGACTCAAAGTTGCCTGGTAAGTAATCGATGAAGTTGATATACAAGCTTGGATCCTGTTCATTTCAAATCCCACATAATAGTGGTAGTAACCACAACAGCAACAACAAACATTTCCTAAATGCTCGCCGTATTCCCGACGCTATCTCAAGCCCTTTACATACACCCAATCATTTAATCATCACAGCTCTATCTATTGTTATCTGCATTTTACAGATGAGGAAACGGATGCCTTCTGTCTCTGTAGGAGAACCACAGCTTTACAGGAATTATTGACACAAAGTTTGGAGCTGCTTCATCTTTTTCCATTTACCATTCTTCTTCTTTGCCCATTCCTTCTTATTTTACTTCATCCAAGTTACAGGATTAACACAATTCCTGGTTTGAATGGGTCGAGGTTCAACTGGTCCAACAAACTCTACAACGTTTTTGAGAAGCTGTTTTAGCTGTCTTCTTCTTAAATAGGCCTTGGTCCGAGCAGCACAACAAGAGTTCTTAGTGGACACCAAGTGCTCTAAGATAGACAAGCTCTCCCTGGGTATTCCTGAGAGCACCACACTCTGGCAAGGAAGAGACAGTAAATGGGAATGGCATTCTGGATCTAAAGAAAATCACCCACTTTGGGGGTCTGCTGTCAAAGAGTGTTGCCACCACCCCTGACTACAGTGTCTAAGGAGACATTGCAAACCCAGGATAATGTCCAGTGGGCTAGGCTGGCTGATAGGGAACACAGCCTCAGAAGTCTTCCAGGCAGGTTCCTTACTCGTCATCAGGATGGTAGCAGACTCGGTGGTTCATCTAAGTTGACAAGACCTCAGCCAGGCTGGGAACACAGGCAAGGTTTAGTATTCCGGTGTGAGTGGACTGGAAATGGTGAGGCAGATCATTCAGCCCTTCACCTTCAGAGGAGGTGTGCTGGGGTGGGGGTTGGGTGGGGCATCTATTTTAAATAAGAATTAGGAAAGCAAACCAGGATTTGAGGAAGATGAACTACAAACACTGACTCCCCAAGGCCTACCCCAGATCTCTTGGAGGTTACACAATTCCCAGAAGCCACCAATTGGAGGATATGAATCTCCTTATTTGCTGCACAGAGACTGGGCAGGGCTGAGTCTTGCAGCTGATAGTTTCCCATTCTTACAGCTCCTCAAGCCTGAGGCCTGAAAAAGTGGGTACTCAGATTCTTATAAAGTCTCATTACGCCAAGAGTTCTAGAAATTCGAGGCAGTGTCAACAGACTACGTGAAAAGAAAAGTATTTCTCTCCATTTCAATTTTGGCAGAGAGCAGTAATGGGAGAAGAAAACTTTACCCCTGTCCATGGGAAATGACAGCTTGTCAACCCCATTTCAGCAGACCTAATCTCATACTGTTGAGATAAAAGTTGGACGCTAAATTTAACCAAATGTACAAAACAGTGTGAAGAGTTTTATTCCAACTTTGTAATTT